CATTTGGAACAATTCATCTGATTTGGTTCTTTGTTTTTTTCAAATAGGAACGTTTCACAAGCTCTTTATATTGCAAAAAAAAGGAAAAATTACATTTTAGGGGTTGATCAATAGCTATTTTAAATAATACTAGGAAACTACTTTTCTACAACCTTATTTACATTTCGTTTAAGGACAAGTACATTTAATAGCACGTCTTAGCATTTTGGGCATCGGTTATTTGAAAGTTCATAGGGGACAGAATATGTCCTCCAATTCAGGACTGTCCGTTATAAGCGTTATAGGGTTAAATAGCTGGAGAGATCTTAATTAAAAGGCTGCCATAAGAAAAGTTATAGATAAGAAATTCTACATTTAATCTTTTAACAACTTCAGTCACGATCATTACTACCAATTATATATTGTATATTATTTGTAGTAAATATATAATTATATATGTAATAATAAAGAAGTGCCTTCCTTCAAGTACTTTAAAAATACTAGATATTAACATTATTTTCCACGTTTACAGAGTTGATTTTTATTTACATCAGTCCTAATATTAAGTACCATGTATAGAAACTGAACCGACCTACAAGTCAACCTGAAGCACGCCTTTTTAAAGCCAGGCTTTCAAACATTTCCGCACCTGTTTGCAGTGGGATTTTCAGCGTCTTTCCCCTTTCCCCAAATACTGCCTCCTGCCCCGAAACGCCCTGCAACTGGAAGGAAAAGTAAAGGTTAAAAATGTAATTGCAAATATTAAGAAGAACACATTCAAACAAGAAAGAAAATGAGTTTGACAATAGATGTCAGGGAAGGAAATAATGATTCTGCTGGAGTCCCTGCGATGCTAAACATGACGTTTTATGCAATCAATTGAAAATTATTGAAACAGACATGTGTCTCTAAAAACATATAATACATATCTTCAGTGATAATTTCCTACTGTATCTTCAAACATACGTTTTTATATATTTTTCAGCTGCATCTAATTACACAACTAACTCAAAGACACTAAACCAGTTTAAATCTTACCCAGCGCCTCACGAGTTTGGCGGAGCCTCAGCGTGCCGAGCAACACACTTCCTGTGTCCCTCAAGAGGGCAGATTCATCCAGTAGCCGTGGCAACAGCGACTCATTCAGCCAAACCAGAACATCAGCTCGACTAAAAGTAAGAAAACAGTTTTAGATATATTGTGTCAGATATTGGGTTATGTGTTTGTGTGTGCACACTTTAAAGGGACACTGTGGATCTGCTTTATGTTGAGCAAACAACAGTTATGGACACAGTTTCCTTCAGCGGACCGAAACGCAAGGGAAGAAAAACCGATGGCCAGTCATGGGAGCGGCACAGAAATCGTTACTTTATTCACACTAGGCAGAAGGTTGCCTTTTAGAAATGAGACATCTATCGCACCAGAATGAAGGTTAATATTAGTCAAAAAAAGCTGTCAGGTCTTTAGGTGTAACTGTGTGTACCTGCTGATGTTGTGGTAGTCAGGTGTGTGTGTATGTGTGTGTGTACCTGCTGATGTTGTGGTACTCAGGTGTGTGTGTATGTGTGTGTACCTGCTGATGTTGTGGTACTCAGGTGTGTGTGTACGTGTGTGTGTACCTGCTGATGTTGTGGTACTCAGGTGTGTGTGTATGTGTGTGTACCTGCTGATGTTGTGGTACTCAGGTGTGTGTGTATGTGTGTGTGTACCTGCTGATGTTGTGGTACTCAGGTGTGTGTGTATGTGTGTGTGTACCTGCTGATGTTGTGGTACTCA